AGAGGATGGTAATTAGGAGTTTCAAGCAATCTGAATTTATAATTGGCTGAGATTTCACTCAGCAGATAGTACACTGCTGTCCTGAGCACTTGCTGTATCTAGGTCAGGCCATTAGTTTTGCTCTTAGTCTACACAGTTTTAATTTCATCTTTAATGTCARCTTCCAGCCAGTGAGCTAAGGCAGCAGATGACTTTGTCACTGATTGTGCTCAACATCTCGACCCCTCCTGAACCCACAGGGACGGAAAACAAGAACCAGTGTCCCGATGGACTCAGATTGCTCCCAGGCCAGCTCATGCAGTCAGAGCGTTGCCTGTTGGACTGGGCAATCAGAGAACCATGGAATAGTGAGGGTTGGAAGGGACCTGAAAAAACATCCATTCCCACGCCCCTGCCATGGGCAGGGACATCTTCCACTGTCCCAGGTTGCTCCAAGCCCCGTCCAACCTCTCCTTGGACACTTCCAGGGATGGGGCAGCCACAGCTTCTCTGGCTAATCTGTGCCAGGGCATCCCCACTCTCATCAAAGCAAACTTCTGGGAAGTGGAAGCCAACCCCATCAAGGAGCCAGCCTGGTCCATGCTGCTGGGGATGCCTCGCCCCACCCCACGAGGGGCTGCAGGGGACAACATGTGGAGCCGGCCTGCCACAAAGGACACGCTCAGGTGCACCCCAGAACCTCTGAGCTCACACCAGGGAGATCAGGGTAGGGTGGGCTGCAGGAGGGTAAGAGACACAATGATGCCTTTAATGTGCTGTGGTAACTCAGAAACACTTCCTGAGGACACCTCTGCACCCCTCAGCTCATCCTCACATGACCCCCAGACCCCTGCCTGCCGTCACCTGCAGCAGAGTAGCACCAGTACTTCATTCTCTCCACAGCTCTCCAGGCATGCCAGCACAGCACTGTGAAACAGATGCTCCACTGCAGACTCCTTCCTGCCCCAGAAGCTTTTCACCTTCCCTCAGGGTCTCTGCAGCTGATCACCCTTGCCATGAACCTTCCCAGGGAAACAGAATGTCATTGCCTCTATCCCAGGCATCCCAGCTCCAGAAAGCTCCTGGCATGATCCAGCATTCTGACCTCTGCCCCAACCTGCCTGGCATCCATGTGCTCCCTGCCTAAATCCAGAAAACTGCTTAAACTGGCCAGAATCATAATTTACAGCATAAACAAATGGAGTTGAAGATGCACGAAACAAACCCATYACATGCATTAAAGGGATTAAAGATGGTTCCTAAAACATCTGGAGGTGTGTAATACAGTCCGGATGGATCATYGCAGAGCATCCACAGGCAAGTCAGGCTGCTGGCACACGCTGGAGGCTTTAGATGTAAAACCAGTGTGAGGGAAAGGGGAGCACTGGGAGGAGGTTTCTCATTTGCACACACCAGTCCAGTTTCAGGCACTCAGCTCTTCTAAGAGACAAAAAAAATCCCCACCAAAGATTTCTGTGGAAAGCACAGCCCTTCTGACAACAGGAAGTTACTCACTTCAAAAACCCAATTTTCCATCAAAAAAATCTAACTTGAAAGGCATTCCCAGCTCACTCAAGCTGCGGGATCAAAGCCAGGGATTAAGCACATCTGCTSATTGCTGGCTGCGTGAGCATGTTGCAGAGCTCTGGGAGCAGCCCCGAGCTCACAGGACAATCGAGCTCACAGGACAATSGTGAAGAGGAGCCAGAGGGGGAGGGCCCTGCCATGGGCACGGGACACAGGGCAGCCCATGGAAGGCAGCAGCTGCTCCACTGGTCACAGACTCCCAGGCAGCACCATACTACCAGCACATATTTAAGGATTTCAACTAGTKCAGGTACTTGTAAGGATTTTCAGCACTACCAGGTGGTTGGAGCTGAGGCCGTGCGAGGAGATGGCACAAGATACTAAAGCAAACACTGAAACCTGGCACCAATCCCAAGCAATTCCTRCAGCAGAGGTAGAGGGTGAGGAAAAGACACACCTCAAACCAGCTCAACCAGAGCACAACCAGAGGCAGGGATGTGCTGAAGGATGAGCCAGAGGAAGGACACACAGCAAGGTCCTCCCCAAGTAGCTGTGGCCACCCTCTGCCCTGCTCCCCAAGCAGCTCTATCCCTGCAGGACTGGGGAGCTGGGCAGGATGAACAGCCTGCAGGAAGAAAGCCTCCAGAGGAGGAGAGCTTCCCTGCAAAGCCAAAATCACTTCAGACTCTTATTTAAAAGGAAAAAAAAAAACAAAAAAACAGTGCTCTGGCAACCTGCAAGGTTTCCTCAGATGGATTTGCTGGGCTGGCACAGGCTGGATYGGGGAGCAATATTCCAAGGTTTTAATTTCTCTGCCCAGGCTTTATTGCATGCAAACATACATGGTCACTGCTTTCTAAGGTTTCCAATTTGCTAATTGAGACATTTCCTCACTGAAAAAGAATGTCCTGGACTACAGACAGGACTGCTGGTGCAGGTCTGTGCACTGGGGAGGCTTAGGTGAGGCATGATGAGATGGGAGACAGGCAGGCAACACCCAGCCTCCCCAGACCCCATCTGGCAGCACGAACCAAAGCCAAACCTGGCAGCTGGAAGATAAAGAAGAAACACCCAGGACATCCCACCCCTGTGCCATCTGGGGTGTTTGGTCATGGCACTGGGCACTTCACAGCAGGTTTAGGAGAGTTTGGAGATGGGGAGGTGGGAAACCAGCCCAGGAAACTGGACATCTAGGAAGATCTCTTTCCAGGCATCAATTTGCATAAAAACAAGGAGGAAAAAAATAATCTGCACTGCAAAAAAAAACCCCAAATGTTCTGTGTTTTCGCTGGAGCAATGAAGTATTCCTTCTGCCCTCAAAATACATGAGAGCAGAGAGAGTGGTTTTGTTCTCAACATGAACAGGTCAAAGAGCCAAGAAAAACACTTGTGGGGCAGAATGAGCCTGGAACATGAAGGGAGAAAGGCCAGAGGAAGCAGCAGCTGAAGAAGGTGTGAGCAGGGTTCTAATAGGAACACRACTGCTGCCACAGCCACAGCCTCAATAGCATGACCTCAGATGGGACCTACTGTAGGTTTTTTTCATCTAAAAAAATGGAATTAAAAGTATTTTGCAGGCTCATCCAGAATAYACAGGGGACAGAGAGGGATTTCAAACTTGATATGGGTCAAACATCATCCATGCGGGTTCACACGGCATTYGCTGCACCCTCAGCTTTCACACAAAGACTGAGCTTCCAAGTGCTCTGGAGGGACCCCGGGAAGTTTGTCAGCTCCCAGCTGAAGTCCAGAACAGTAACTTAGTCRAAACCAATCTATGCCACAAGTGAAGGGGCTGGAGACACATCGTCCACTTCTGCAGCCCAGGAGATGAGGATGGAAAAGGTCTGGGGAAAGGCTCCCTGCCACAGGAACTCCTGCTGCTGGAAAAGCTTCAGTGGAATCAAGACCCTGGACAAAGGGGTCCTGGGAGGATATTCAGAAGCCTCTAAATCCTGGTCAGCCTTCAGCCACCTTTTCCTCCCTGGGAAGGTCCTTCTGGGAGACCCAGAAGCTCTCAGGCCAGTCCCCTCAAGGGCATCTGCAAGCACATCTGCAAAGTGCTCAGATTTCATGGGAGGGTGAAGGGCACAAGGGGATTTTGAGGCACATAGGGAGCTCTGTCACTGCCTCATAGAATCACAGAAGGATTTGGGTTGGGAGTGACATTCAGAGACTATCCCCTTCCACCCCCTGCCATGCRCAGGGACACCTTCCACTATCCCAGGGTGCTCCAAGCTCTATCCAGCTTGTCCTTGAACACTTCCAGGGATAGGGCAGCCACAGCTTCTCTGGGCAATCCGTGCCAGGGCCTCATCACTCTCACAGGAAAGAATTTCTCACTAATTTCTTTTCTATCCCTGCCCTCTATCAGTGGGAAGCCATTCCCTCTTGTCCTGTCCCTCTATCCCTTGTYCCAAAGTCCCTCTCCAGATCCCTTGAAGCCCCTTTAGGCACTGSAAGGGGCTCTAAATTTTCCCAAGAGCCTTCTCCTCTCCAGGTGAGCACCCCCAGCTCTCCCAGCCTGGCTCCAGAGGGGCTCCAGCCCTCAGAGAAGCACCAGGGCTTCCTGYTCCAACAGCTCCACATGCTCCTTGTGCTGGGGGCTCCAGAGCTTGAGCCAGTGCTCCASGGGGTCTCCCCAGAGCAGAAAAGGAGAACCTCCCCACTTCATGCTGCTGGGGATGAACCCAAGGCACTGTTGGTTTTCCAGGCTGCAAGCACACATTGCTGGCTCATGCCCAGTTTTTCAGCCACCAGCATTCCCAAATCCTTCTCCACAGGGCTGCTTCTAACCCATCCATCCCCATAYCTTCCCAGAGCCTGGCCCTTTCCTCTCATAGCAGAGAGCAAGCTGGCTCCAGGGGGACACAAAGGCATTCCCAGAGCATTCTGCAGGGTTGTGTGGTTCTCAGCCATGGAAAGAGTCCACAGGGAGGATTTATGGACAGTGGGAGATTTCCATGCACTGAAGCCCACAAGTTGGGAGCCTGTGGAACAGCTTTGCAAAAGGAAATGCCCACAGTCCAGCCTGTCCTGCTCCCATCTTCTGAGAGGGCTGAGCAGGCACAGCCACAGGGCTATGGCCTTGGGGATAGCGTCACAGGTCCCTCAGGACACTCTGCCATCTCAGCTCTCCCACAGRACAAGGCAAAACTGGAGACAGCAACACTGGTACATTGGAGCCCGATGCCATTTGGGGAGAAGGTCTAACACCCAGACTTGGCACACACACGCCAGCAGTGGAGAAATTAAAATAAAACAGAAAAGACTTTGCTCTAATGGCACAACCAAGACCCAGCTCAGTCTCCCAGTACCAGGGTCCCAGAAGAGCCCACCAGCTGCATCCCACAGATCCTTCAGGAGCTGTTTGGCTTAAATACAAGGTGCTGCTTGGGGCATCTGGAACCAGCCCCTGCTCTGAGCACTGCTGCTGGCAGATACAGCCCCCCTGGATGGATGGCTGCTCTGCCACAGCCCCGCCAGGTCCTTACCTTTAGCTTCTCAAAGCGATCACTGAGCGATGCCACTTGGTGGTCTCGGTGGCGACCCACCAGTTTACATAAGGCACAGATGAGCTGGTCATCAGCAACACAATACATGTTCACCTTCTCGTTCTCGTGCTCCAGGCACGTGAGCCCACGGAAGTGCGCGTCGGGCACCGGCTCCACCAGCCGGTGGCTGGTGAAGGGTTTCTTGTTGGGGTGCGTGGCCCGCAGGCAGCGGTCGCAGTAGGACACCTCGCAGGTGATGCAGGTCTTGACGGCATCGCGGGGCGGATCCTGCTCGCAGAACTGGCAGGCGATCCTCTCGCCGGCCACAGACATGGTAGGGCTGTTGCGATAGGTCCTCTCGCGGCGGCTCTCGCTGGGGGAGTTGGAGCCACTCAGGGACGCCTTCTGGAAGCGGTCGATGATGTTCTGCAGAGTCACATTCCTCTTGAGGCCCTCCAGGCCCCGGTGATTGAGGGAGATGACATAGCGGCAGGTGGGGCACTGGAAGGCGGTGATGGGCTCGATGGACTCACTGGAGGAGCAGCTGGACACCAGAATGCGGTGGGCACAGCTGAAGCAGAGGCTGTGGGCACAGGGTAGCAGAAGGGGGTCCTCAAATAACTCCAGACAGATTGGGCAGGTCAATTCTGACTCCAGTGTTTCCATCTTTAGTTAACACAATCCTGATTCAGCATCAAAAACCAGGGAAGGCGGTCAGGAACCTGCAAGGAAGGAGAGCAGAGATGTGAGAGGGCAGCTCCAGCTACACTCCTGGGCTGCTCTTCTCCTCCAGCAGAGGTGCCTGCAGGGWTGGACATGTCACCCCCACGACACCCTGACACTCTCTGAGCTCCAATGCTGTCACTCCAGCCCAGCCAGGCCCCTGCAAGCGCAAGCTGAAGCCTCACATAGAGGGGTCTCACCCCACATGGAGAGCCCAGAGTTGCAGCAGGACAGGAGCCATATGGAGGGGATGAGAGGAGGAGCAGCAGCTCCTCGGACACCTTCCAACCCAGCCAGGCCAGGACCTGGACCATAATGCTGGAGACAAACCCAGGAGAAACCACATGATTTCATGTTTGTGCTGGTGAGCACTGCCAAGACCGGAGCAGAGCYGTGCTGGCGCTCCATGCAGAAGGGCTGCTCTGCACGGCAGAGATAAACCTCTGAACATCCCCTCCAGCAGCTCCAGGCCTACCTGCTTCTGGCGAGGGGGAAAAGGCAAATCATGTCATGGAAACTCTGAGCAGAGCAGAGCAGGTCGGGAGTTTTAACACTCAGTCTTGCTCCCTGCTTTTCCCAGCCATTGCTTTTTGGAGCTGGGTGGGGAGGGCAGAGCACCGAAATTATAGTCAGCAAACTTACACCACTGGCTGTCCTCTGCTGCACTCCACAACAGCCAGGGATGCCTAAATCAACTCCAGCTGGAGGCAAACAAACAGTATTTTTAGCCCACTTCCCCTGCACGAGGCTGGAAAACAGGTCCCAGCAGGGAACTCAACCTGCTGCTTCCAACTATGGTTTGCAGAGTGCCAGGAGCTGCACCCCGAGCCCTGCCCAGCCTCTGCCAGCAGCCCGGCAGGTTCCCAAGYACTCCTGTAGTGACACGGAACCAGATTCAGCCTCTCTCACTCATCACCCAGGGCACAAGTGGTGCCTCCTGGTCTCCTCGGCCATGTGGAGGCAGGCTCCAGGTGATGCCCACAGTGATGTCCCTCAGCACGGATTTGGGGGAGAGCCCCGTTCAGTCACTGCCACAGGGACCCCCTCAGCCGGGCACTGCTGTGGGGACTGATCCTGTGAGAAGCAATGAYGTGCCCAGTCCAGCTCTATTTCCATCCCAGGAACACCCTGGTGTGGTTCATGGGCTCTGACAGGATGCCCAGAGAAGCTGTGGTTGCCCCATCTCTGGCAGTGTCCAAGACCAGGCTGGACAGGGCTTGGAGCAGCCTGGGATAGTGGAAAGTGTCCCTGCCATGGCAGGGGGCAGGACTGGATGAGCTTTAAGGTCCTTACAACCCAAACCAGTCYGGGATTCTATGAAAAGGRCTGTAACCAAAGTGTGGGGGGAGGACCCATGAGCAGGAGAGGGTCCGGCTGCTGGAAGCCCCAGGCTGCTGCCAGCACCTGCAAATAGCAAATTGCACAGGTGCCACACTGGGACCTGCCCAGCCCCATCCCATCCATTCCATCACACACCCCCAGTGCACCATCTCTTCCCAATTATTGCAATGGGATTTTCAAGTGCCTTGAGGAAACCTTGAGCTMTTCCCTGAATCAGCTCAAGGGGCTTGTAAAATAAGTCTGTTGGATATTTTGGTAGGTTAATGCTGCAGCAGCTGTTGCTGGCCAAAGGCAGCCTTGCACACACATGCACACGCTTCCTTTAAAATTATTTTTCTTTTCCCCAAGAGAGACAGGGAAGATGCAGCTGTGTCCAAACCAGCAGAGGAGCATGAGGGCTCCTGGCAGCTTCCTCTCCACAGCCCCCCGAGCTTCGGAGCTGTGCAGCCATGGGAAAGCAGTGGGGAAGAAAGGCTCCTGGCGCTGTGCCTGGCTGCTCCTCTGTGCCRCGCCTGCCCCCGCACCCACTGGGCTGTCCCAGTGACAAGGAGTCCCAAGGACAGCCATGACACGCAGGGCTCCAGGCATCTCCTGGCGCTGCCCTTGGGCACCTCAGCTGGAAAACCTCCCACGCCGGTCCCTCACTGTGCTGGATGCTCTGGACACGGYGGCTGCCTTGGCCAAGGAGCCCCACACCCCACTGCATACACCCTCAGCTGGGGGGGCACAGCCCCTCCACCTCCCTACCTCATCCACAGATTCCCTCCGCTCAGCAAACACAAACAAACAAAAAAGAAAGGACAAAACCAGGATTTGTTTCATYGCCTGAGTAAGACTGGGAGAAGAATTTAAAAATCTGGATTGATGTGAGAGGCTCCCTAACACCTTGCCATGGAGCAATGCCTCACACTCCTGTAAGCTCCCACATCCAATACYCAGCTTCACATGCACCTCCACTGCTACCCAAGGAAACCAACGCAAAAACATCTTTTGGTTTTGTTTACTGAGGGACGTTTGCACATTAATCTTGCTTTCCTTGCTGGGACAACAGCTTTTACCTGTGACAGACCCAAAAGAAGCCTCAGACTGGGACAGGAGTCAGGGCAGGAGCCCTCTCAGAGGCGTGGAGG